GAGGAGAGAGACAGGTGTTCCTGGAACAGTCTGGCCATGTTGCCATCCTCCTGCCCCAGCTTTCCAATCAGCCAGGAACACCGTGCACACACCTCTACCTGGCATGGTCAGGTTGGCCTAGAACTAAAACTGGGTCTTTCCATTGTGTTCCAGTCCGCCTAGTAGTGACGCACAGGTTTGTTTTTGTTTCCTGTTTTTGTTTTTGTTTTTCATTATTTGAAATTTTCTGTGAATGTGTTGGTCTTTATCCCTGCACAAAAATCTAAACAACATGAGAGCAAGTTGCTTGTCTTGTTAACAGGTGTATTCCCAGTGCTTAGAAGCCTGGTTGATACATCATAAGTATTCAAAACAAATGTTTGTTGAAAGATTGAGTAGCTGGCTGAATGGATGATTGAGAAAAGGATAAAAACAGTTGAAGTGTGACTATTTCTTTTAGCAGTATATGAAAGAAAAATGTGGCAAAGTATAATGTCATAAATTTCTTACCATCTGTGGGAGCTGGCAGGTGGCATGGTGGGTAAGGCACTAGACTCCCACATGGCCTCTGGACCTGGAGGCTTGCTTTTTCACTCTCTGTCTCTCTGGTAAGTGTGTGTGTCCTGTAGCAAGTTGGAAAATAATAATAATAAATAAAATTAGAATAATTCTTAAAATTTTTTCTTTGCATCCATGAAACATTTATCTTCATCTGTAGCACACAGCACTAAATAGTTGTAGGATGGTACCTGTTATTATTTGAGTGTCCTTCAAATTCTGAGTGTGATCTTGTTTGTATGGTGAAGGTGTTGAGAACTTAATGTTTTTATTGTGTCCAAGGGCAGGATGTTTGAGAGTGATAAAGAGTAGGGGCAAGGCCCTGCGATTGAGTTCTGATGGGTTTATAAGGGGCTTATGGACAGCAGCTCTGCTCTGCTTATACCCTCATAATGCCTTAGGACTTTGCAAGATTCAGAAGTTGGCAGGAACCAGCAGTTAGCGTAATGGCTATGTCGCTGGACTCCCACGTAGTCGACCGTGGTTCCCGTCTCAGACCCGGTGGCTTAAAACTCATGCCGGGCACGTGTGCGTGCATGCCCAAGATCCCAAGAAGAGAATGGAGGAGAAGGGACTGCAGCATGACCATCCCCCCTGGGGGGTGATTTCTCGCTGTCTGTCTCTATGTCTTTCTCTGTCTGTCTGGCGAGCGCACGCACCCTATAGCAAAAACCTCTCAAAAAAAAGAAGAAGTTGGCCCCTGGACCTTGACCTCCAAACCAAGAGTGGAACAAACCTCTATTCTTGAATTACTTGGTTTCTAATCTTTTCTTTTACAGAATGGACAACTACTGTACTCAAAACACACAACGTCCAGATTTATTTTTCCCAAAATTATTCTTTATAATCAGTGTAACGAAGAATTATTTCTGTGGAAAAGATGGACATAAACAGGGGGACAGACATTAGATAATCCCACGGGGCAAAGCACATTAAGAAAAACGAAAAGAAAAACAAACAAAACATGGAAAGATCCAGCTCTGAACAAATATTCCTTTTACTCACGTTCACACACAGGAACGCTGCTGTTCCAAAGGCTCCTCATTCCCACTGAGATACATTTACTCATAGAACTGCCCCTTAAATGGAACCTAAAGAACAAAAGCAATGTAGCTGAGCAAGCATGCCATTTCTCTCTTCCCTTCACTGGCAGATCTCAGCTTCTTTCCTGACAATTCCGAAGTTAATTGACAGTTTAATTTCTATGTGAAAGCACATGTGAAAGAGCTCATTAGGTATCTCGGCGATAGAGGCTCAGAAACCAAGAAATCGTGGAAACTGAGCAGCTTCCCGTAAGGTGCAAAGCACTAACAAACTGTGAAGCTCAGTAATCAGACAGACATGATACCTCCGACTCAAGGAAGAGCACAAACAGGCATTTCCTTGGTCTGGCCCAGAGCTTTCCCCAACTGCCGAGTGCCCCTTCTTGTCATTATTAGAAATGCTGTTCTCAAATAAATCCAAATTAGGACTTTTTCATTCGTAGACATCAAATCAGGGGAAAACAACTTCTGGTTTAGGTCAGCAAACCATTAGGAAAGATACCTGAGACTGTTCCTGCCATTGTATCTGGAATGTTCCTGAGCATCCCTGAATTATTGAGGAATAAAGCCAAATTATCTGGGGATAAAAAGGAAATAAGAGAGGACTCTTCAGAGGAAACCATCCCAAAACATCCAGCTTATTGACCAATAGCCTCTGGGGTCGTCTCAGGTCTTTATTGAGTGGCTAGTATTTGATGTCAAGAAATCTTTGGAATAAATTGAAGAAATTGAGAATGACTGTTCTGTGGTCTAGGTTTTGTTTTGTTTTTGCCTGCCAACAGTATTGGAACTTAATACCCAAATATTTACATCCCCATAAAGACTACTAATATTGAGAAAGGTAGGAAATACATCCCCCTTAAGGAACACAACTCCACACCACCAAGAGTTAAAACACAAGAAATCACAGAAATGTCAGAAAAAGAATTCAGAATATTTATGACAACTAAACTCAATAAGATACAAGAGACAACAGACAACCAATTCCAGGAGATGAGAAAGACTTTCCATGAAGGAGCTCCATAAAGAGATAGACATCCTGAAAAGGAATAAATAGAACTACTGGAGTTAAAGATAAGGTGCAGGAAATCGAAACCTCCCTTGAAGGTATTAACAGCAGATTAGACTATATAGAAGAAAGAATCTCTGACTTGGAGACAAAATTCCTGATTTTGGGGTAAACATTTGGTGTGGTGGTTAAGGCACTAGACTTGCACATGACCAACTGCAGTTCAAGTCCTAGACCTGGCTGCTTGAAAATCACACTGGGTGTGCATGTATGCTTGCCCCAAATCCCTAGAGGAGAATGAAGGAGAAGGGATTGCAGTGAATCAGGATGAAATAGAAAGCCTGAATAAATCAATGACAAGTGATGGATTGAATCAGTAATAAATAGTCTCCCAAGAAAAAAAAGCCCAGGTCCATATGGCTTTACTTCTAAGTTCTACAAAACTTCAAAGAAGAGCTAATACTTGGGGCTGGCAGATGACGTGGTGGTTAAGGGTGGGGGACTCCCACGTGGCGGACCCCAGTTCAAGTTTGGACCTGGTGACTTGCTTTCTCATCCCCCCCCCCTTTTCACTCTGGTCAAATTAAAACAAACAACTAAATTAATAAATAATTCTAAAAAAAAATGAAGAGCTAATACCAATTCTGCTCAAACTATTTCTAAAGATTCAAAAGGAAAGAATCCTCCCAAACTTCTTCTAGGAAACCTGTATTACCCTGTTACCAAAACCAGACAAGGACACAACAAAATAGGAAACCAAAGGCCAATATTCCTGATGAATACTGATGCAAAAATTTTAAAAAGATACTATCAAATTGAATCCAGGAGCATATTACATACAAAAATCTATAGCACTTGTATACACCAACGATAACCAGTCTGAGACAGAATTGAAGAAAGCAATCTCATTTACAATAGCTACCAAATGAATAAGAAACCTAGGAATAAATCTAACCAAAGAAGTAAAAGATTGCTACAAAACACTTATTCTTTCCTTTTTTATTTCAAATTCTTCTGTTGATTCACTTAAAAGTGTCTTAAAACAATCTTTGCATATTTTTATCTTCTTTGTCCTCCTCCTCCTCTCCTTCCTCCTCCTCCTCCTTCTTCTTCTGTCAGCATTTCACTGAGTCACGATCCTGCCTTAGCCTCCCAGCTGGAACTACAAGTGTGTGCCATCATGACTCACTCCTTTTTAGGTTTCATTTTGTCACCAGGTCAGCCCAGAACTTGGGATTCTTACTGCTTCAGCTTCCCTGGGTCACTGGGGTTCCAGTTACAGGCTGCCATACCTGGACTATATATGGTCAGGAATGAAACCTGATCCTCCCCTGTGATCCTCCCTCCCTCCCTCCCTCGCCTGTGGAGCACAGCATCTCAGCCGGGTGGTGGATCTATTGTATTTCTGCCATTTAGTGTCTTTACCACTTTCCCTTTGTATGCATCTATTGATGGTGCTATCTGGTTCCCACTGCAAGTCATCTTTCAGATATTAGTCCCTTTCAGTACATCTTTACTATGAGGCCAGTCCTCCTTTTTGGATAAACCCCCATTATCTATTGTGTTGTGTCAGTATCTAGCCTTGTCTCTGGTCTCTATGCTGGGACTCACCCTTCATTACAAATGAAGAACACTTCTGCCCCAAGCTGGAAATTAAGTGGAAGTACCACACGGCCGTTAGGGAGTTGGTCCAGGAAATTATCACATGCTTTCACTAGGAGGAAAACAAAATAAGTTTAAGATTGTCCTCTGAGGGGAAAAAGAGACTCATCTAGAGACCACTTGAGAATCCAGGCACCTGCACATCTGGGGGCTGCCGGGCTCCAGTCTCCCTGGGTGGTACAGTGCAGAGAGGCAGCCCCTCTGAGGTCATAGCCAGGCTCACAGTTGTAGAACACTTCCTGTCCTGAGGAAAAGTCATCCTTGTCACTTGGGGTATATGTGCCATGTGGGATTTCTGGAGGTCGTCGACACACTGTGGAAATGACAGGTCCAAAGTACCTGTTAGTTCAGAGCAATATCTTGCTAACTAACCTCTAAGCCTTCCAGAAAAATCAGATAATCATACTTAAAGGGGTTCTTAGGCATAACAGAAGAAGTCAAATGATACTCCACCCCCTTCATTTTACTGATCTGGAAGTTAATAGGGAGGCCTCATAGCTGGTAAGAGCTATGGAAGTAGAACCCAGTTCTCCCAGCACAGGGTTCATTCATAGACCTAGAAAGCCTGAGTTTCCTTCCCCAGCACTAGCTATCCAGCATGGAGTTACTTGTATTGATGGATTCTCCACCTACTGTTTTCTTTGTTTTTATTTTTATTTTTTTATTATTATTTTTTTTAAGAGAGATTTTTTGCTATAGAGTGTGGGTGCTTGCTAGAGAGCCAGGCAGACAGAAAATGAGAAATCACCCCTGGGGATATGGGGATATGACCACGCTTCAATCCCTTCTCTACATCCTTGTCTTGGGATTTGGGGGCACATAATGTACATAGTCCTGGCATGAGTTTTAAGCTGCCTGATCTGGGACTCAAACCACAGTCAACTATGTGGGAGTCCAGTGATGTAACTATTATGCCTTCTGCTGGTCCCTCCACCTACTGTTTTCTAAGAAACAAATCCCAGTTTTAGCCTCATTGTTTAGATAATGAGTCTGTTTAACAGATTCCCCCTCATCTCTCCATCTCTCCTCTACTGCCATATATGCATCTTCATTTCTTGGTGTCTGTCCTCCTTGCTGCTCTGTCATTGCACAAGGCTGACGTGGTTTGTAAAAGTGTAAGCCCCATCTCTGTCCTTATGTATCAGCCACAACACTTTCCGATCCATCGCTAAGCCAGCTTTGTGTCCTAAATAGACAAGGCAAGCCAGTGAGAATAAAAGCCCCTAAATAAGTCAGTCTTTATAATAAGACATACTATTAGAGAGTATTTGATCCAAGGCTTCCATTAATAGCCCTTTTTCGCATGCTTAGGATATCAGAACCTGTTTTAATCCAACCTAATCTATGCCTAATTAAATATGAGTGAGAAATATGAGCAATTTTCTTACACTCTCAACTTTATATTTATAATAATAAAATGTAAAAGGTTCACATTATAATTACATTCTAAGGTCTTTGTCACCCTTCTGATCTCTTCATAAATCAGTCTCTTTCTTTCACTGATAGATACTGAGAGAAACATGGCAAAAACTAGAGGATTTGGGCTCTGAGGTCAGACATACCTGCCTTTTTTAACCCTGGGCATGTCACTTAGTGGCATGTGACTTGGATAACTTATGTAACCATTAGACCACCCTAATGTCACTACCAAATGGTAAGGAATGGCACTATTTCACACCGCTGACTACAGAGAGAGCTCACATCATTCTACACCATAAATTGAAAGATAATGTAACTGGCGCTTTGCCCTGAAAATTGCTCAACATGTGAGTCCTAAATATGTTCTTACTTGGTCAACTGAGCTTTTGCTTCTCAAAATAAAGATACAAACACACAAATGCATGAACACAGAGACATATACATATATACACATACTCCTTAATTTCGTATTTCTTCTCCCCAAATTTACTCACTCTGCTCACCACTCATTCCCTCCACAGAACAAACACTAATCTCCTCAACTCCAACAACTCATGCCATTCAGAGGGCCCTCCAATGCCAGAGTCAGACTCACCCCTGGAGCAGGTTGGCAATTCTGGCTGCCATCTATTAAGGGCCTGGCATTGCACCCTGGTCGGTCCTTTCATGACGAAGCCAGGCTGACACCTAAACTCCACAGTCTCATCTAAAGAAAACAAGCTTCTGTTCTCAGACACCATTATTCCATTTGCAACATCTGGAGGCGTGCATTTATTAGGGATGATGCACTGAGGGGCAGGGCCACTCCAGGTGCCAACATCATTATCATTGCTGGTGCAGTAGATCGATGCCCCACCCACGAGGTCAAACATCTTTTTTCCTCTGTCTCCAAGATTGCAGCGATAGGTCACCACAGTTCCGTACTGGAAATATTCTCTGTTGGTGCTAAAGAAATTTCCATTGGGGATGGTTGGGGGTGGCCCACAATGGATACCTGTTAAAGGGAA